AGGGGTTGAGCCTTATGAGAAGAAAGGGCAAACAAACTCATGGCCACTCTTTTGCAATTCACAAGTAGATACAATGGCACTATTAAATATATCACAACATTGTTTTGATGTGTGCTAGTATGTCCGTTATTAAGGACTTAAAGGTGAAAAAACAACGAAGAGAAAACAAGATTAAGAAGAACAAACGAATACAAGAGAAAATGAAGTGAAACATAAAAAATAGAAAAAATAATAAAAAACATACTAGCCACACCACATTTTTACTTAAGAAAGAAATAGCCTGCGCTAATTAATCCCAAGCATTCTTGTCCTCCATGTAATCCACAATCGAGTAGTAGGCCCTCTGGCACAAGCCACGTTTTATTGCGGATTTAAATTTGTTAATACTCAACTCCTGAATATTATTTGGGATTTTATTATAAAATCGGACACATTGACCTCGAAAAGACTTGTTTATCTTTTGGAGCCTAGAGGCGGGTACAACAAATTTATTTTTATATCTGGTATTTATGGCATGTACATCACTTTTTTTCAAAAAGCTATCTTTATTTTTGTGAACATATATTACATTTTCATAAATATATTGACTTGCCACTGTCATTATATTTATTTCTTTAAATTTCTGCCTCAATGAACAACGATTGCCTAAATTATAAAGTGCTCGAATAGCTCTCTTTTGCAGCACAAAAATAGTTTGAATGTCGGCAGCATTCCCCCACAGCAGAATACCGTACGACATTATGCTATGAAAGTAACTGAAGTAAACAAGTCGTGCTGTATCAACATCAGTCAACTCTCGGATTTTCCTTACTGCGTATGCTGCTGAGCTTCCTTTTCCGGGACTCGGACTATCTCTATACTAATCGCAAGTTATGACGTCATACTAATCCAAATTTCAGTTTAACCTCAAAGCTGTTTGAGTACAGTTTCAAGTTCGTAGCATAATTGGTTAAAAATATGTTTTATTAATAACATCTATTGAACTACCTTAAGAAAACACATGAAATCTTTAAAAAAAAAACTCGTTTGACTATAATTTCGCTTAAATAGGTCTCATTTACCGTAAGAGTATCCTAAAAGTTAATTCAGATCATAAACCATCCATCCAATGCCGTCCAGCTGAAATCAAATTACATAATAATCATCCAACCATCCATCCGGATACTCTTTTCCGGTTATAATATTAATAAGAAGTTTTCATCAAAAACGGTAACATCAGTTCGAAAGTTTATTTCAAAAGGAAGGGTCTTGAAACGGCACAAAACTTGCGAGGAAAAGTTTTTATTGTTCATAAACCCAAAAAAAGGTAAAATCAACTTAAAATAAACTGAGAAGCGTGTAACGTAACGTAATATTTGAGATTTAACTATTCATGACGTGCTTTGGGTCTGTGTTTCTTTTATTACAATAGTTTGTCTATGTTGAACCGTTGACCGTAGAGAAGTTATTTTTGAGGCATTTTCTTGCATTGGAAGCCACTGAAAAAAAAGCTCGAGATTAAAGAATTTCTTCGTTCGTATAAATATAGTCAAAAGAAATGATTCAAAACTTCAAGGCACCTTTTTTCATGCGGAAATCCCCTCGGATACCGCACGAAAAAAAGGAATAGCCGGATATCTCGAATATCCGAGGGTGGGATATGGGTGGTTATGTACTCGTAGGACTCGAACCGACTAAAAACCGCACGCCGTCTCGGGTACCCGTAGCCGGGGATCACCTGCGTCAGCCGGAGAAGGTCCCGTGTAACCTCTCGAGCCAATCGTCCATAACGGGTTTAACCGAAGCTGTAACTCCGTGCCCAAACTTCAAGACACTTCAGAAACTTAAATATAATAAGAGTCTAATAAAATAGATTTATCATGTACCACCTTAAATGACGATTTAATACTAAATAATTTGACGTCATAAGCGGTTATTTCACAAAAACTATAAGTAACTTAACGTGTGAGCGATTAATAAAGAGAAATTAATTTGACTTAAGAGTTAAAAACCGTCCGGCGCCTGAGTCGTCTGCGGTACCTGGCCCGTTCCCGAGCATGGCGGGCCGGAAGTGTTCTAAACTTCTCCCGGTCCCGCTCCGCCATCTCCTTCGCAAGTATAACTTGCTCGCAGAAGGAGACGGCAGAGTTCCACGCACTCTCGCTCCGCATGACAGCCGCAATCAAGTTATCGAGCGAGAGAACTCCCATTGCGATGGCCGCGACGAGGTCTCGCCTCTGCTCCACCCATGGAGCATTCTGCCAGCGTGTGGAGCACCGTGTCCACGGTCCGACCATTGCAGTGGTGGCACTCGGGCGTTGGCTTCTTGCGGATTAGACACAAGTGATTCCCGAAACATCCTTTCCCAGTGATCACCTGCGTCAATTGGTATGAGGGGGTCCCGTGATGCCTCTCGAGAGCCAATCCTCCATAACGGGTCTTACCGCCTCGATGACGGCGTGCCCGAGTCAAAAACCCTAAGCGAAATTGATTTTAGTGACATGTTATTTAGATGCAAAATAGTTGTCATTTAATGTTTTTTTCTTCTTATTTAAAGATCATACGTACATTCTGGCGAATAAATTAATTTGAATTTGAACTGAAATAATGTGAGAAGAGAATTTATTCGAAAAATATTGAAAACAGAATCTTACAAATTATGTTTTATATCGCTCGCAAACCACACAATCTTCAAAAATCTGATGATTTGGACTCTGACCTAGGTCACTTTTAGTCACTTTTATTACAATATCTTATACATAAAATTCTCGTGTCACAATGCTAGTTACCATACTCCTCCGAAACGGCTGGACCGATTTTTATGAAATTTTGTGTGCACATCGGGTAGGTCTGAGAATCGGCCAACATCTATTTTCTACCCCTAAATGACAAGGGTGACCCACCCCAATTTTTTTTTTCAATATTTCCTAAAAATAATGTAGGTATATGGCAAAACAACGTTTGCCGGGTCAGCTAGTCGGTATATAAAACCGAATTTTATTCCAATATTAGTTGCTAACTATTATCTCTATGGGGATCACTTAGCTACCAAATAAAGGAATTCGATCATAGCGACAACCTCACTGTAGGATTTGATCTTGAGAGAGGGCACCTTAGTACTTGACCTCTTCTCTGTCTCGTTTTTTTAATAAATGTTTATTATGTCAGACATCATGTTTGATTTTCTTTAATTAAGTTAAGTACAAATATCGGTAATCATCCGTGTCGTGCCGGATTAAGAATACGGAGTGTCACAACCCCTATATATCCCCTGGGCGTCCAAAGAACCGACTACGCGGGACAACAGCACTGCAAAGAGAAGAAAAATTTGACAAAAAACCCTATACCAACCCGTCTGGCTAGCGTACTATACTAGTAGTACGCTAGCCAGAAAACCAAAACCAAAACCTATTTTCTATGGAGAGGTCTAAGGCCAGCAGTTGACTATTAAAGTCTGTTGATGATGATAATGATGATGAAACATCACAACTCTACAGTAACCATACCTCTTTTTACTTTGTCCATTTTTTTAAGCAATTAACGTTAGTGACTCTGACTGCTAACCCAGAGGTCGTAGATTCGATTCCAACCCAGTAAAAACTGTTGAGTGATAAGCTCGATCATTGGTTCTGTGTCTGGGCGTAAATTATCTATAATGTGTATGTATTTAGAAATATATAAGTATGTTTATCAGCAGTCTGGTCACCATTGTACAGGCTCTGCCTAGTTTGGGATCAGAAGGGCCTTGTGTGTGAGATAGTTATTGTTATTATTAATTTTTTGCCCCAGCTCCTGCTATTTCACGCCTTTACTCGATGAATAAGGCAGCTTAATATGAGACACAGAGAAAGGCTGAGGCAGAGGCCTACTCATTCATGAACCAACACTCTAGACGGAATCCTTAAGAAGCCTATTGTTGACGATTACTAATGTCGTTTTTCTTCTAGTGATCACCAGAGCTTTATAATAAGAGACAACTGTACTACCGGTTGTTATATTACGATAAAACCTGTAAGAGAAGAAGCAAATGAGTGAGGGTTGAAGTTCTTTCCTCACCTCTGAAAAACAACAAAATTATTCCTTTTTTTTGTTACTTTTTTCTTTTTTGTTACTTTTGTTACAACGGTTTTGTTACTTTTTTCTTTTTTTTTAAGACAACTCCCGCACTTGGAATATATCCTGTGTCGCGGGGGATTTTACAAACATTCATTCAAACGGACACAAAGAACACCCAGACTGAGAACAATAATTTGTGGATCAAACTGTTGTACCATGTGGGGATCGAACCCACAACACTTAGAGTAATAGGAAGCGGCGAAGTGACCGCCTAAAGGTAGACTTTACTTACTTTACTTAGACTGGCGTCACGACAGATCGGCAGATTAATGTCCTATGTAAATATAGGGGACGACATTCGAGCGTTGCAACTGTAACGTTAGACGTCAGCGTTATTGACGCGCTCATGTTCGTAGTGTCGCTGCCGCCATCTTGAATTCCGATGTTATTTGCAATAAAATTTCATAAAATGGCATCTGTTGAATCGTCTACTGAAGAAGATGCAATATTAATTAAAATGTTGTCTCGACATCCATTGCTATAAAGTTTAAGCCATTCGTGAACACTCGTCGATATATTTTGTGCGAAAGCATGGCGCTTTCACTGCGCCTGGAAGACTTGTTTAAATAGTTACAATACAAACTTAAAAATATTTTTTAAACAGTAATCACTATCTGTTTCAATGTACCTTAATCATATCGACAGGGATTTTACTAGCTCTTTTTAATTTATATTAATCCAAATCTCGAAATTTTTTACAAAGTAATAAAATCGACGTATAAATATTGAAGCTATTTTGATACACACAAAGGTAATTAGTTAAATTGAAAACTCTTCAGAAATTCATGGTAAAAATTAATATAAATTGAAGTCAATATTCAATTTTGTAACAGAGCATAAAATGAGACACGGAAAAGGTGCTTAATAAAACTGTTCAAGTATGAAAAAATAAAAATAAAATTTAATCAGAGTTTGAGAATGCGAGCGCCGTCGCTTGGCTGACAGACGAAGAAGGTCGGCTTTCCTTTGTACTGTGATAAGACGTGCTGCTTCACATCGTCCAAGTCGCTTTTCTTTACCTGTTTGAATAAAAAATTATGTTTAATTATCTATAATTACTAGCTGGACTCTACCACGCCTCGCTGTGGCACATTCTGGTTGCATTAATGGGAAATGAGGACTAAACAAAACTGACTCGAAAAATAGTTTAAACCTTTTTTAAGCGGTTCGGTATCGTGCCAAAATTTGAACTTTTCGAGTTTCCAAAACATAGACAAACCAACTTAACATTTTTATTCTAAACTAGCTTTAACAAGTATAGTCGAAATTGTCAATCCAATTTTCCGGGTTGATGTGTTATTCCAGACTATAATTTATCTTTCTGACAAATTTCGTGTAGATTAGTTTAGTTAGAGGTATAAATGTGTTCAACAAAAAGTTTTGAATTCTAACAAAGATTTAGTCCAACATTTTCATGCCATCTTGTCTTAAAGTTTGTAGTTTTATTCTAGAACTAAATCTTTATGTAAAAAAAAGAGCAATAATGGGGAAAAATAAAAAAATGTTAGCCGAGAGAAAACGAGAGTGTTTTTTTTAATTTAAAGACTCGAGGGACTCGAACCGACTAAGACCACACAATATTCCGCCACCACATCTCTTTACTGTGCCTCGGGTGTGCCCTAGAAAGGATATTCCTGTGAACCCTCGACAGACTAGGCTGACTATTGAGTATGGCTACTCCTTTGTAGCTAAAAGGTTTGATAGAAAACTAATTAATCATATTTTGGGCCGCCTTTACTATTTCTTAAAAAAAAATACCAATAGCGTAATGTCAACAGACAAAGTAATTCATTTCTTAAATTAAAATACTCCATACTGAGTAAATTATACTAATATAATATAGTTTATTTCAGCCAACCCAAAAATAGGTTTCACAAACAAAATAAATAACAGCACAGACCTAAAAAATTTAAAGCAATGTTTACACATTTTTTTATTTATTTTGAGTTAATCTAATCAAAACAAAATAGTTTAAAGGTAAATTCTGGGTATACCTCTGAGGAGTGATCTTTTTTAAGAAAAAGAAGGCATGATATTTTCTACAAAGCAAAGAGGTGTGCCATATGTCGATTAACTGGGCAATAGTTTAGAAATTTTATATTTAATACCTTTTAAAAAGATATTTTGATTTTGTATAAAGCTGTATATCGTATAAAATTTCTGTTAAGCATTGCAAACATCAAAAATATTATCTGAACAACATTTAATAAGGTAACGAATTATTTCAAATTTAACCTTTTAAACATTTCTACATGTGAGTAACAGCAACTTATAATACATAATTAATACATGCCATAAAATTTATTAACAATAAAGTGTAGAGAATAAATAAAAATAAACTTCCTATTGAATTGCCCGCGAAAATGAACTAAACACTTTCCAGTAATAGTTGGTTTAAGGTATGCGACTGTGACGTTATTGTTTACATTGCCCAGGGCCATTCCTACCATCACCTTCTGTTATCCACTTTTTCTTTCATTAAACTTCCAGTTTTTCCATCTCTATCCTAAAATGACTGGTTGATCGCAATAGACTTACTTACGGACTCACTTCCCACTTACGCCACAGGGGGCATGTTACTTAAGTTGGTAGTAAGTCCGTGTGGTGACTGATTAAGAATACGGAGTATCACCACTTATACTCATCCCATGGGTGTCGTAAGAGCCGACTAAGAGAGTAAGCTATGCAGGACAACAGCACTGAAAGTAAAGAGAAGGAAAACTTGAATCAAACCTTATAACCAAGCTGTCTGGCCAGCGTGGTATAATAGGAAAAAACCTCCATTCTAAGAAGAGGCCTATGGCCATTGGTGGACTGTTGTGGGCTGTCGATGATGATGTTGACGTAGGTAGGAGTAAAATTATAGTTTGCAAATTGTAGTCATTTATTACTCTGTTAACCCATTACGGTATGTATCCCGTACTATATCTGCTGGTATCTCCAAAATTTATACGTTGACCAAGACAAGTAGTGACATGTCACTTGTGACGCAGAAAAATATTGTATTAAAAATAACTACAAATGTAATGGTTTTTTTATACACGAAAATTAGTCGTACTTGTTTTTTTTTTAATGATCAGACAACAATAACAATGGAATTAATTAAATTCGAATCACAAACTAGAACAAAGTTAGAAACAACTTAAGAAACAAGAAACAAATTTCATTAGATTAGAAAACTCAAAACGTTTAAGACAATAAGAATAAATAATTACGTTGATTATATAATGTCACCTTTGTGCACCTACCTCACAAGATTCACCGTCCGATTCACGGTAGATACACCGTCTACAATACTTTGGTTTAGTTTAAGTTAACTAAAATATAGATTTTTAGCTGTAGCAGAAATAGTATGATTCCAACTTACCAACGTAACAACACAGCCACCGAAACCACCACCAGTCATTCTTGCGCCAAGCACTCCTGGAACGCCTCTCATAATATCCACGATCTGGTCCAACTCTGGACAAGACACCTCCATGAGATGACTCAACGATTCGTGAGATTGGTAGAAAAGTTCACCAACCTTTGAAAAGGTATTCATAGTTAATATCAAACAAATACACACTGCTCACAAAAAAGAATCGAATGAAAAACAAATCTGGATTTTTGGACGGCTATGTGAAAAATGGTCATATCGGTAATATAAATAAAATATTAAGTAGTTCCATGATTCTAGTTTTTTAATCTATAGGCGTTAATATTTTTTAAAATATACGACTACGTTGTTCGATCCAAAAAAATTAGAACCTTGGAAGTTCACAATGGTTTTATCGACAATCTAAAAAACACATTTATAGATTTTCGATATTATTATTATACTAGCTTTTGCACTCCAAACAGCCTCACTTTCACATTTATAAACTCACTTTATAAACTTTCAAATTTACAAGAATGGAAGTATGGATTAGAGTGGTACTACATTAGGCTGTGACTATAACAACGTCAGGATTTGATACCACTTAGTGCAAATTGCACGTGAAAAAGTGCATGGCAGCTACTATTCATGTGCTAATGGTATCTCAGGCCATAAGACGGACATACGAGTACTCAGGCCCAAACCCTCCGCTGTAGTCTCATTCACGTTTCCCCATCCAAAACTTACGGTGTCCCTCCACAGCTCCCATAGCTCACATTATTTGTTTTCCTTGTCTTGTTTGAAAACGATAAAATTTCCATAGAAAGTTGGCGTCTGATTGCTCATGATAGAAACCAGCCAAAACTTTTCTATTCTTATTAAAGCTATTTTCTCACCCTTCTAAAATCTTTTTCCTTCATTGCTTTGGTGGCCTCAACTGTCATACGAGTTTCTTCTATCACGTGCCTCGCCCTCTTCAATACCAGATCATCACAATTTTGTGCTTTTAGTTCTAGAATCAAGAAAATAACGTCGATAAATAATCGAATGTGAAAGAATATTTTGAAAGTTCTAAAACCTAAGTACTGAATAATTTTCATGAGAGCTATGCCTCGGCAGATACGACCGTTAGGCCTCTAAGTAGTAAACACAGCTAGTAAACAGCATGTAGATTTAAGAGATTTTGAATGGGTATGAGATTTTAAAATGTGAATCGAAACTTATGTGACAAGGATTCTGTACAAAAACATTTGTTATTGAAATTAATTAACTCAGTCAAACTTCATAAATAAGTGAACGTTATTTTAGATTATATTTTGAAATCTCTGAACATACTTCGTTCTAGTTTAACATTTCAAGAAAGGAATATCGAAACTAAGCCATCCAGAAGCAAGGTCAAACCATTGTTTGGATTATATCGAGCTGTGAAGAGAGTCTACGCAGTTTGGAAACTTTTCAATGGCGCCGTAGAATTGTAATTGCAAAATTTACAATTAAGTTGATAGTTCCAGAGATATTGGCAGCTCTCATTTTCTTAAATGATGGCGGTGTTTACGTGTTATGTTTGTTCAAATTGTTACAAAACTTTATTTCTCGCTACCGTTACAAAACTTGAACAATTACAAATTTAATTTATTTAAGACTATACTTAAAATATCCAGTAAATTCAGTTAGGAAACTACATTACAAAAGCGTTGCCTTCTCGGATACGTTATTCTGTTTTCAAAGGCATATAAACATGTTTTCTACACTTTATAAGAACTAGAAAGAGATGGGAGGACGAAAATTACAGAAATTATTGTGTCTAGAACCTTGCCAAATGTAATGGACACTTAGACGGAGCATAGAGCTGCACGCGTAAAATAAATCAAACTCGCCCACCGAGGGTTCCGTACACATTTGTAGGTACATATTATAAAGAGTTTAGAAATCGAATCGCGCAGTTTTTTTCCGAGCTTTATGATTCATTTACCGGTTTTGGGTAACAAATAATTTAATGTCATGTTTATAAAATAAAGTTGAAGTTAAATAAATAAAAAAATTGCAGTGTAGAATAGAATTTTATTATTTTTTATTTTATTCTATTAGTAGACTCAAGTCAGACTTCTACAGTTTTTGTTAAAAGATATCCACCCATCAACGGTCTATATCTATTTATAAGTTTAATGTTCCTTTATGTGAAGGACTTACATGAAGTTAATCAATTTATTGGCTTAATGGCCTATTGGGTTCCGTAATTGATTTCAGACGGCGTAGGATGTTCACTTAACGAGGTTCTATTTAATTTTAGTCACCAACTTCCCACTCATCTTCAATCATGAAGAAATGTCAATGCAACAGGTTCATATATGGGAAATAATCTACACTTATATTTTATTAAAGATTAGCTTTTTTATCTATCGTTAATCTAAATGAGCTAAATTTAAAAAAATACAATATTCTCCATCAATCCTGGTTCTTATTTCTTAGCTTTATTATTTACTAGCTCAAGGTGTCTAATAGTATATTCTAAATAATCTTAGCTAACAGTAGAAACAGACGTAAAACTTTAATGTACCCAAATGATCAACTTCCAGCGTATATTTCGGCATCTTTAACGAGTTACGCTTCTACTTTCAAATTTAACAAACAACAAAAACACTGCGAAGACAATACAAACATTTATTTTAAAGAAACTTTTCACTTACTGTTTTGCTGTCTTGAGCTAGTAAGAAATCGTTTGCATTACTGAGCCCCGTATTTGTAACACAATTTTTTAATCACTAACAAAATTGACAGCAGAAGGGAGAGAAGAATATAAAAATTTACAATTTTTTGAAAAACTCCTATTGCTGCTTTTTTAGTAATTGCATTCATTATTGTTACTTTTTAAATATACTATCATACTGTACTCTAATGTTTTATTAAATGTATAGGTAGCTTCGAGGACAGGCTAGGTTAACTCCGATTAAGCAGAAAAGCATTACCAGATTAAGTTTACAATCGAACCGATTTAAGATACCGCCCAAACTCTCGACAGGTTTTTTTGGCCAATAAAAGGGTAGCATGCACAGATATATAAGTAAAGTTATATAGGTTTTAATTAAAGCCAAATCAAAAGTACCATAAAAGTTGACCTACTTTCTAAATCCTCGATTCTGGCTCCTCTAAGTGATGGTAGACCAAGCCGGTCTGCTGCTTCTTGACACTGTGCTCTCCTCTGAGGATATTCACTACCAGTCAACTGATGTTTGACATTTGAATTTGTCACCAGAATCGCTAGGTCGCCCAAGTCCAATGGAATTTGTTCAGCTTCCAAAGATCTGAAACAAAGAATAAGGTTAATTGGTAGACGACATGCCACCGATAGGTGGTATCCGAGGGGATTACCGCACGGAAAAAAAAGAGAAAAAAAAGGTTAATTGGTAGATAATTAAGGCGCATATTTTGTACGCTCTCACTGTAATTTTTTTTTTTGAACCTCTATTTTTATTTTTTTTTACAACGCCCGCATTAGAAACATATCATGTATCGCAGGGACTTTACAAATCCAAGTTGGTTGGGGCAGCGCGTGCGTTGGCGCGGCTGCTGCCCAACATGAAGGGACCCGATGATTCCTGCAGGAGACTCTACTCGGGGGTTGTGCGGTCCATGGCCCTTTACGGGTGCCCAGTATAGGCGGGGGCCCTGAAGGCCAGCAACGTCGCGATACTGCGACGACCGCAGCGAGTGCTGGCCATCAGGATCATAAGGGGGTACCGCACGATCTCCTTTGAGGCGGCGAGTCTCCTGGCCGGAACTCCACCGTGGGACCTGGAGGCGAGAGCCCTTGCGGCTCTGTATCAGTGGCGCAAGGAGGCGCGGGAGTTGGGTCGATGCCCCGAGATTCGAGAAATCGATGACCGGAAATCCCAACTCCGCCAGGTCATCATAGGGGAGTGGAGGGAACGACTCGGGCAACCGAGCGCCGGGCACGCCGTCATCGCGGCGGTAAGACCCGTTATGGAGGATTGGCTCGAGAGGCGTCACGGGACCCTCTCATACCGATTGACGCAGGTGATCACTGGGAAGGGATGTTTCGGAGATCACCTGTGTCTGATCCGCAAGGAGCCAACGCCTGAGTGCCACCACTGCGATGGCCAGACCGTGGACACGGCTCTCCACACGCTCGCAGAACGACCTCCGTCCTCCATAAGCGCAGGCCTGGGGGTGACAGGTGAGGCCATCTGTCACCCTAGCAGAAGCAGGCCAGGGTGGCGGCAAGCGCGTTGCGAAGCGCGCTCGCTTCCAGGGAGCACCGGGAACATGGGGTTCCTACACGGGGGGGTCGTCTACTCGTCTGTAGATGACCCGAGGTATGTCGGGGTACCAGGGACTTCCTTTCTAGGGTATACCTGGTTCCCCGGCTATTAGTACCCGAGACGGTGTGCGGTTTTAGTCGGTTCGAGTCCGACATGCCACCGTGGTATCCGAGGGGATTTCCACACGGAAAAAAAAAAAAAAAAAAAAAGGGGACTTTACAAACATACATGAAACGACAGACTCAGAACAACAATATGTGGAGGTGTCCGCCTAAACCACTACGCCATTCATGCAATCTCAAACGTAATGCCTAATCATGATATACACTCAAGCCCTTCGTCCTCGAAGGTGAAGACAGGTTAACATAGGTACTTGTATATTTCTAAATACAAGTACTTAGAGATATACAATAATAAATAACACCCAGACACACACAATATTTGTCTTGGGTGGGAATCGAACCCACAACCTATGGCTTAGTAGTCAGAATCGTTAACAACTAGTTGTTGTTGAGGTAACATCCGCACTTTAGCATAGCATAGTATACGACAGTGCATATGGTAAGAAAACTGTGCGAATAGATGCAGAAACCTGATCGTAGTTTTTAATATAAAGGTACTTACTAACGTACTCAAAACTAATATTTTGACTGCACGGATAGCGTAGTGGTTTAATGGTCGTCACACCGCTTCCTACTACGTTGTGGGTTCAAACCCCACATGGGACGACACTTTGTGTGATCCACAAATTGTTGTTCTGAGTCTGGGTGTTCTTTGTGGCCGTTTCATTTATTTTTGTAAAGTGCCCCGCGACACAGGATATATTCCTAATGCGGGAGTTGTCTTTTTTAATAAAAAAAGGAAAAAAAAGAAACATTTCACTAATTCAACTAGATACTGACCTACAATCAATGAGTAGGGCATGGTCCTTTTTTCCCATGGTCACGATGTACTGGTCCATGATGCCACAAGGCATCCCGGGGAACTCGTGTTCAGCTTTCTGACATAATTTCGCTTTTTCAACCAGTCTGTTAAAAGAAATAATATTATTTGTCAAGAATTTAGAAGAGTTTGAATTCAAATTTCTTAAATGCCTTCCTCGTGTCATCCACTCTTGTTAAGTTACAAAGAGTTCATTAAAAGAAGTATTTATTACAGGAGTAACGAACTTAGGTCACTGCCCCTAAGTCCATAGCGTAGGGCGTAGTGGTGTTATTTATTTTGTGCTAACGGAGTTTACACACAACCCTGCAGACTTAATTAAGAGACGTCGGAAATTAAACGGATTTATTTTACCATTCCTTTTTATAATAGTAATAAAGCCTTAATTAAATGACTGGTAAGTACCGTTGCAAAAACATGTCCAAGCCTATTATATTACGAGAGTATTTGCCATATTTGTCCGCCATTGTGGTCGTCTTTAGAACTATAATTATTCTTCCATTTAGACTTGAAGGCAGTCACTTCGCCAAAAAAAATGAAGTTCAGCCGTATCGTAGTAGACTTAAGGCCGACCCCAACGTAGTTTAGGCAAAAGGCTCGGAGGATTTTATATTTATATTTCAACCAATTTTACTCATAACATAAATAAACTGCGGTCTTCCGTACAGCTGTTGTGGTCTATATTTAACCCCCGACGCAAAAACGACCTGGTGTTGTAAGTTTGACGTGTCTTTGTGTGAGTGTGTGTGTGTCTGTCTGCGGCAGTAGCTCCCGAACGGATGAACCGATTTTCTTAAGTAGAACATTTAACTGCCTATCTTTTATGTAGGTTAGAAAACGTGCAGACGGGTCAGGTCAAGGTAAGCGACCGCCCATGAATACCCGCAACTCAAGAGTCACAAATGCTTGCCCCCCCCCCCCCACAATTAGGAAGGGGGGGGGTAGCCTCATTCACTTTGTGAAAAGCAATGCAAGAATTGCTTAACATTATAAATGGCGTATAAGTGCGTTTTGTCATTGGATAAACGCTACCATATAAGTATGACGTCACGGATGGCGTAGTGGTTTAAGCGATCACCACGCCGCTTACTACTACTACTGTTGTGGGTCCGTTCCCCACATGGGACGACACTTTGTGTGAACCACAAATTATAGTTCGGAGTCTGGGTGTTCTTTGTGTCCCTTTCATGTATGTTTCTAAAGTCCCCCGCGACACAGGATGTATTCCTCATGCGGGAGTTGTCTTTTTTTAAATAAAAAAACTACATATAAGCTTATAAGCGAACCGATGGCTGTGTGTAGGTACCTTAAACTGATTAGACAGTATATCCACAATAAATTTTGTGGAGGATTTGATTAGGGTCATGTTTCTATATATTTTGGCGCCAAACAAATAATCTCTTTAAATACCTCTCACATTGAGTGTGATTACTTAAACCTATTAAACACTCAATTTGAGCAAAGGACTTATTTTAATAGTGATTATTTTGTGCCGATTTTCTTTCATTTCTACCACATAATTAAGTGTTTAGTGTTTAAATATCTAATCTATCTCTTTTATCAAATCTTTTAATTAATCTAAGTTAATGGCTAAATCTAGTCCTCATTAAAAGTTTATATCGTAAATGACTAAACAATGTCGTTCTGATGAACTAAAATAAAATAACGTAATATTAAAAAAAAACTCCAAGAGCTAAAAATGTCGATCATATTATATTAATATAATTATTTATTTATTTATACCATACCATATATTACTTGCACAGACAGACCAATACAATAATGCAAGACTTAGAATAAAAACAAACAAACCTATGATAAAGTACTTAAAAAAATAAAATTAAAAACTAGAGCTAGTCAGTACTCAATATATCATCATCATCATCATCAACAGCCTTTAACAGTCCACTGCTGGACATAGGCCTCTCCTTAGAAAGGAGGTTTTGGCCTACTATACCACGCTGGCCAGACGTGTGGTCACGGATTAAGAATACAGAGTGTCACCACCCCTATTCATCCCGTGGGAGTCGTAAGAGGGAGCGAAATACGCAGGACAACAGCACTGCAGAGAGAAGGAAAACTTGACACAAACCCTATGCCAACTCAATATATGGCCTTTGTGAACTCATTAAGCGAACACGAAAAAATGACAACATGATCCGACAGTTCCGACACTGCATTGAGAGCACAAAGTGAAGCACCGCAAGAAGGCGCGGGCACCGCCGCCGCGTCACGTAATCGTTTGGCACATACAGTGAGATCTCCTGTAGGATAGCTGAGTTCAATCGATCAAGAAACAAAACACTTTAAATAGGTACGTGGCTAAAGCTACTTCTCTCCTCACTTCCAACCTGTAATATCCCACCATTCATAAAACAAACAGCGTGGGATACAACAATGGATACCCTGGGTACACACCGAATACCTTACAATATAAAAACCTAATTAATTTATTTTGTATGCGTTCCAAGTTAGTAATCTAATTAATTAATCTATGATAGAAGATAAAAACAAAATTGGTACAATAAAGATGTGTTTATTTTTATTTTTTTAAGGTAATTTATAGAACAAAAGTCATTGCCAAAAACCTTAAATTATTGTGTTCTCAACAAAATATGTACAAATTTCTTTACGTGTGTAATTCGAGGAAGACCAAACAGTGAACTTGATATTTCGCAGAAGTTTATTATTAACAGTTTCAATGTAAGATAAATGTATATATTTCTTTTTTTATGTCAAAGGGGGCAGACGAGCAGACGGGTCACCTGATGGAAAGTGACCATCGCCGCCTAAGAGTGTCTGCAACTCATGAGTCACAAACGCGATGCCGGCCTTTTAGGTCGATTCCAGATCGATACGACCTGCATACCTAGTTTTGAAGGTCGTATCGGTCCGGAAATACCACAGACGATAACCCGTTCCACAGATTGGTTGTGCGGGTCAAAAAGTATCTCGAAAAGCGTACAGTAGTGGAGAGCCAACTATCCAGGTGATGGTGATGAAAATTTTGCCGTGTGAAACGATGACGGAAAGTTACGGCTGGTATTTGTTGGAACAATACCTCGGAGCACTCTCCATGATATATGCGATAGAGAATGTAGAGTGAAACAAAATCTCTACGAAACGCCAAGGGATCGAGCCGATCGGAGACGTGAATTTCTGGTATGTAACAATCCGCGTTATAATACCACTGTCGGCTAGCACAAGTTTCTTTGTTTGTTTGCAAAATTGTCAGAGGTCGCACGAAGTCCCGAAACATAAAAGACCTAAGTGGTAAAATATGTATTTAAAATAGTACCATATATATATGTCAATATATTTCTCAGGGATACTCTACTCACCAGGGACTTCCTTTCTAGGGTATACCTGGTTCCCCGGCTATTAGTACCCGAGACGGCGTGCGGTTTTAGTCGGTTCGAGTCCGACATGCCACCGATAGGTGGTATCCGAGGGGATTTCCGCACGGGAAAAATAAAAGAAGGGATACTCTACTAATTTCGGACCTTATGGGAACCTATACACACGTGAGATTTTGTTCTAATACGGCAAAATATAACTGTAATCGAGTACCTATATAAGTAAAAATTAGTAACAATTCTTACCCAACTTTAGTACCAGTCAACGCTTCAAGGAACGAGAACACAGAGACCTCGACAGCAGCGCTACTCGACAAGCCAGACCCCATAGGCACATCAGTCACAATGACAGCATCGAAACCCGGCACTTCACCTGTATTAAAATGCATATTGCAGTCTTAATTTAAATAGGGCTTTACAATGGTCGAGTACATTAATAGTCCTCTAATGCTGTACCCGTCCATTGTAAAGCCCCTGGGTAAGGAGCGTGACAGGCAAAATGACGTAGAAGGGTGTAAAACAGTCTTTTGACCTAATTGAATTGATCACTTAACTTACATTTTATAATTTAGTATTTCTTAAAATATATACGTTACTAGCAGAGGCAAGGGCAGAGAGTTTTTGTCCTAATTGAATGCCAGCACTTGCATTAGGATAATAAAAATAACTTCACACATCTCGGTTGTCTGATCTCAAGCTAGACTGAACCTGTACTATGGTGACCAGACTGCTGATAAACATCTATATATATAATAAAATTGTAACGATGTCTGTACATTAAAGATATGGAAGAAAAGCTAATAAAGTTGTCTTTATTAAAGCAACAACAACTTAAAACAACAGTTTTCAGAATTTTTATCTTATTTATTTGTGCGTTTGTGGGCGCTTATTTCAGAAATGACTAAACCAATTTGTTGAGGTAATGTGTTGTGGCAAACTTCACTTAAAATTTAGTGTTTGTTTTATTTCAATCGATTCACAAATAAAAAAGTTATATCAATTTAAAGAATCATGTCAACAAGTGACTGTCATTTATGTCTTGCGTTTTTGGTTATATCAAGTTATCTCTTCATCTATACACTCAAATTAAATGCAGTAAAAGACAAATTTTATCTTTATAAAATTTTCGTAGTGATGAGACTCTTTATTTCTATACACGCATATAATGTACGTTATAAATTCACCTAAACATTACTTTATCATTTTTATTTTTCTTCTTCCATTTTATTATAAGTCTTAAATTTAAGAGTTAGAAATAAGGTGCCGCAAACTTTATTGTAGATCTACTAAAGATCAATATTTTTGCTTCAAATTATATTCCTTTAATTGGAATCGCCTGCCCAGCGTAGCAAGAAGGCGATTTAAATTACCAAATTCTGTGTGTATTATTTTGTAATTTATTTTGTTGTTAGGTTAGTAGTTTAAAAACAATCTGTACATATAATGGACTTTAAATTAAAAAATCTAATACAAATTTCGTTTATTTCCAATGATAGGTATATATTGTATATCAGGTTCGAATAATAATGTGAACGTGTCACATTTATCTGTCGACCGTGAAACACATGCACTATCGCGAGAAACTCGCTTGAACTCTTAGATAGTTCGCCCAGCAAGTATTTGATCTCAGGAGACCCCTGAAGAATGCGAAGTACGTTTAACTGCACATGCGCTCAAGCGTCTGAGACCTTTACTGACAGAGAAACACGATTGAGCTGTCAAAGAGGTCGGACTCTACAGTCTAGAGAGCTGGAAAGTAGTTTAGAACGTGAAGTTCGACATATCGAGATGAATATCGACAGCTACATCTAGAAACTAACCCGTCAGAGTAAGGAAAGTTATTTATTAGGTGAGGAAGAGTAAGGGCAATACGGCATGAAGAAACTACAGACCAACGCCAGTTACGATAAAATCCACTCCGACACACACTCAATAGAATTTTCAATGGAAAACTCAGAAAGTGGAACAGGAACTGATATCCTTCCATGGGTAACCTAGAAGCAAGCAGGCTTTTTGTATTCACCCAGAATTGACTACTCTGGATTCGCATTTATAGAAGGTATGGTGGTTCGATCGTGTGTGTCGCAGGGTAGACTGTGCTTTGGGAGAAATGTTGTTTGAAGATGCTCCCGGTGGCACGGGAAAGACTTTTCTTACCAAAGTATTTTAACGAAGGTACGAAGCCAAAGTAAAATTGCGCTCGCTGTCGCTTCAGCGGGCATAGCAGCCACTTTGTTACCAGAAGGAAAAACTGCCCATAGTATGTTTAAAAATCTTAGACCGAACGGAGAGTCCTCTTTGTAATATTTCTAGAAGCAGCGATAGCTAAGCAGCTAAGGTTTTACGTGTTTGTTATCTAATTTTATATGGAATGAATGTACAATAGCAAACCGTAAAGCGGTTGAAGCAGTAAATAAAACATTAAGTGATATTAAGCAAAATGAACAACCGATGAGTGGTATTACAATACTTTTTTTGGCGACTGTCGTCAGACTCTGCCCGTTATAATACATGGCACAAGGGCTGATGAAGGAAGAGCATATTTAAAGAGTTATTGGTTGGTTGGTCAGCTTTGTGTGGCGCTGTCGCGCGTTAGTAACCTTACGAAACTGAATGCTTTGATTCCCGATGGCTAAACGGATAATACTGTGTAAAAATAAATATTATTGTAATTTAGATAAAATATTAACAATATTGGATAATAAATTAAGTAGTAATTTATTTGAGCCATCTCCTAATTTTTATTGTCAATTAAATTAAATATAATTATAGACAAATACACAAGAACTTTATGCCGTTAGAAATTCACACGGACGAAGTCACGGGCAATAGCTAGTACTTAAATATTTCTAAACACATACATGTTATAGATAAATTACACCCAGACACAGACCAAATGATCATGCTAGTCACACAATTTGACCTGGGTGGGAATCAAACCCGCGACTTCCGGCTTAGCAGTCAGGGTCACTAACCACCAGTCCAAAAGGTCCAGCTTTTTTAGTAGTCTTATTTAAAATATTCTGAAGCCCAACGACTTAGTATTAACGGAGTTAAGACAGTAGGCAAGTTAAAACGGCAGAGGGTGTACCGAGTTTCTATCACACACACACACACACACACACACACACACACACACACACACACGCACTCATACACAAAAAACACACACAAAAGTCTACAAATATCTGTTATTCATTCCTATATGTAATATTCTAGAGTAGCCTGTTACTATGTCAGCAACTTTTATCCTGGGGGGGTAATCAGTGTGACAGGGACACCTAACGATTAACAATATATTACACGGTCGGGTACAGTAATAAAGTAGGTAAGAAGGGAGGCAGCCTAAAGCAGCAAAGGGACCAACAGATTTCTGTTCTTTTGAATAACAGTTGCTCGCCTAAATGCAGAAGTGACCCCATGGCGAAATATCATGGTTAACCAAAACCAGGATCTAGCATCTCAGTAACACCAATTACGTTTCCTTACACACCGTTAACCATATTTTTGTTAATTTTAATCAAAGGAAAAGTTTGAAAAGGTCTCAAGTTAATTCAAACAACTCATACAAAATAAAATTTAACATTTTTCTTTTAAAGGCTGCGTCGTGTCGACGCTGTATTTAGTCGTTTAGTTAATAAATCAAATATATATTTTATTATATTTGCTTTTCAGTTCCTTTCTTCTTTAGTCGGTTTCTTAAAAGGTTTTATAGTGGCACTTCCCTCTTACAAGAGAAAAGAGGAGAATGAACATTTAATAACATTATTCAAATGTATTGTAGGACATTAACCCTACAATACTCCTAAACTTTAAACGAAAAACCATAGAACATAGTCTTCAAATGTATGTACGGAATAAACGTAGAAGAAAAACCTTTTTTACAGCTAACAAACGAATGTACTACTATCATGTAATACTTTTTGCGGCCTATTTTTTCAGAAATCCAGTCACGTGTTGTTAATCCTATCAAGAGGATGACATGGTGAGCTCTAGCAATCCCTTCGTCTCCAGAAATATAAAACTTCGTTTGTTTTTCGTTTTATAGTAATCTTATGTACATTTTGAATACTCACTTCATAGAACAATACGGTACTCCATAAAAATACTTTTCGCAAGATAATAAGTCAAATATATTTTGACAGAGAACCCAACTATGAATATAAATATGGATCTTGTTTATAATTATTTATTATAATAATTATATAGTTTGTATATAATTATTATAATAAAATATATAATCATCATCATCAACAGCCTTTACTAGTCCACTGCTGGACATAGGCCTCTCCTTAGGAAGGAGGTTTTAATATTTAATAATCCATACTAATATTATAAATGAAAAAGTGTGTCTGTCTGTCTGTTACCTCTTCACGCTTAAACCTCGAGTCCCGGGAAAGGACATAGGATAGCTTTCATCCGAGAAATTCCAGAAATTATATGGAAAATCAATAATCGCTGAACCGATTTTAATACAATCTTGGATGTAGAGACTTTGATTCTTAAGGAACGCTACTTTCCACCGCGATAACTGAAATACACGCGAGCGTAGCCGCTTGCAAGAGCCAGTTTAATATTATTTACTGTCCTTAAAAGATACTTACAAAAAAAAATGAGTTTTTACAATCTCATCATGTCCAATAATTTTGTTGATCTCTAGTAACCAAAGTAAGACTTAACTTGTGGTATGGGCACTAGGGCTCTCGCTCGTACTTAGTTGCAACGGATAGTTAATATGAGAGTGGAGTGTATCGTAGATGCATATGCATGAGGTAAATTGCATAAGGTAAGAATAACTCATATTTATAAATACTCAGATATTATATAATATATTACGAGTAGAGGATTCGACTAAAATATGACCGGGATCCCGGGATCCCGAGGTCCGGGATCCCGGTCATATTTTAGTCCCGAAATTTTCGGGATCAAATTTAATGAATCCCAGGATTTTCGGGATTGATACATTTTTTACATAAGTCAATAAAAATGTGCGTTAAAAGAAACGTCCTTGCCTTGATTTGATGTTTTGACAGCCATCTTATCTACACAGCTGATTTCGTTTGTTTTTGCTAATGCGGTCATTATTCGGTTCTGGATTATGCGTAAAAGTGTGTAATTTATAAAGTTTTTGGGCAATTTAATTAAAAAATATGAGTAGGTATCTATAAACATTGGTCTCTTAAGCATATAGTTTTTTTTTATAGTTTATCTAAATAAGTCTAAAGAAGTTGATTTTTTGAAGTTTATTGTTAGTTTCATAAATTATTTACCGAAACACAAAACAAACTAGGCACTAGTTTGTTTATTTTATAAGAAGAAAGTATAATTTTGTTTAACCGCCTTTTTAGAGATTTAAAACTTAAATATTCTATGTCCTCACAAAACTAAATGATAAACAAAAAAAATATTTTGATATATTTTACTGTCTTTTTGTTACCACTTTCCATTGCCAAAACAATCCCGGGACTATCCCGGGATCCCGAGATTAACTGTAGATAATCCCGAAATCCCGGGATTATAAAAATCGAACGGGATCGAATCCTCTAATTACGAGTCTCTGTGTGTGTGTGTGCGAGTGTGATGCATTTTAATTAGTAGTATACTTGGATTAATAAAATGTTGTGTATGTTCATAAGATTTGTACAAGAGCCATATGGTAACTTTTTTCTTGCATTTCGATCTAATTCATGTATAGATGTTTCGCTGTTCGATGTTGACTCAGTATTCATTAGGAATCTTATATAAGTAAATTGGTCCCAGTCACATAATAGAAGGCAATGGCTTTAAGAATTAAAGATGGGAAAATTAGGAGTAAATATAGTGTATTAATATAAATCCGACAGCCGATTCATCAGAGCTCTTAGTCCATTCCGATTTACAGGCAAACTTTCTGGAATAAAAGTGTCTTATCATCAACAGCCTTTAATAGTCCACTGCTGGACATTGATCTCTCCATAGAAAGAAAGTTTTGGCCTACTATACCACTCTGGTCAAAGTTTTCCTTCTCTTTTTACAGTGCTATTGTCTTGCATAATGTGTCCTTTTAGTCGGCTCTTACGACAACCCCGAGATGAATAGGGGAGGTCACTCCGTATTCTTAATCCGTCACCACATAAACTAAAAGTGTCTGTCAGACTATTATTGATTGCTGTTGTAAAAGGGTTATACAGTTGGCGCCATACCATATATTGTAATGTTTACTATGTAAATTCTATAAAAAAATTCATAAAACTAACGGAAAATAGCAGTCATATAGATTAACTATTGCAGAAACTGTAAATACATAAAATAATTTCGATATCAAACAAGTTGTTTGATGATAAGAACATCACGTCTTAAAACATTTAATTTAAGGAACCTTATCATATTTACATGTACTAGTTTTGAAGTTATAAAAAATAGTTTTACTATCTTAAAGTTACCGTTTGAGATAGTAAAGCTTGTTATTCAAATATTTTTTTTAAATTATAGAATTTTTAGTGTACTGTCCCAAAAATAACGACCACCCACAAACTAGTTCAGCTTACTGTCAGAGAAGTCTTTAGGTGGCCGTTAAGGAGAGCCTTAACGCCTGCGCTCACATTTAATGTGATGACGGAACATTAACCACGGGAAGGTAAAATTCGTTCAGAGCAGTTAAAGTGGCAGATATTACATTGCACTTACGTAATACAACTAAATTAATAGTGGCATACAGTCACGTGATCAAAGTTCATTCTTTTGTACGGAAACATACATTTTTCAAACTGTCTTTGGGAGAAACGGGTGTTTTATCACTCAAATACGAAAGGTCTCCGATCAAGGCAGTTGATTGCCTGACGACCAATGGCGCAATGGTTGATGAAATCGGGAATCGGGAAATCGTATATTTAGTAATCGGCTCGAGAACAGTTACTGCGTGATGTAATCCTGGACCGCGCAATCAACTAACGAAGACACACCGAACCTTTTATAGGTTCGTTGTGTCTTCTTTAGTTGATATTGAAATATTTTTAATTGTGTGGAGGAAGTTGTCACCCCTTGTTGCTCTATATTATCTGGTGTACTATTAATTAATTTATTCCTTACGTGATTGATGGAAATTATAATATATTACATATACCTACACTCGGTTCCAAAAATTACGGGTCAGTCACAAAAATTGAAATACCTCCAGAACTGTAAAAGTTAGATCAATTAATTAAAAAACAGATTAAAGACTTTTCAGTTGCGCTTCTAATAGCATATTATTTAAACTGGTTGATGAAAAAAACTTCATTAGAAAAACAAAATTTAAAAAAATGACTATTTTTAAAAACAAAATTTTTGTTTCATTTCATTATAGATGCTTTCCATTTCTATTCTGTCACAAAAAAAAATCGTGAACGTTTTCCACGTGCATAATTATTATTCTGTGAGGTGAAGCATGGCAGTCACGCTAGAGGAATGTACCAGAATCCTAACTTTTTTGGAACTTGGGCGGAGCCAGCGTGAAACAGTCAGAAACATTGGTGTATCTTTGTCGACTGTTCAGCGGGTAGTCCAGCGGTACCAAGAGACCGGATCACACCTTAGAAGACCAGGAAATGGCAGACCAAGATGCACAAAGGCCAGGGAAGACAGACAACTGGTGGCTACAATGCTCCGAAATCGTTTTCAAACTGCTGTTGGTCTAAAAACTCACTTTATTCGCTTTGGAGGTGGCAATTTAAGCGCTCAAACAGTAAGAAGACGTCTTGCTGAAGCAAATTTGAAACCATTGAGGCCCGCAAATGGCCCCAAACTGGAACGGGGACATCGAATTGCAAGACAGAGATACGTGCGCGAGCACCTAAACTGGACACTAGACGATTGGTCTAGGGTAATGTTCACGGACGAGTCTAAATTCATGCTTTATAAGCATGATGGTAGGCAGTTGGTGTACAGAAGACCAGGGGAGCGCTTCCATCAAGCGTGTGTGGAGGAAAAAGTGGCGTACGGTGGAGGCTCCGTACAAGTTTGGGCTGGGGTTTCTACTGAGGCCCGCACCGAGCTGGTACTCATTCAAAATGGAACTCTAAATGCAGAGAGGTACGTGGAAGAGATCCTCAATGAACATGTAGGTCCTTTCATGGCCAGGATGGACCGGCATGGCATATTAATGCATGATAATGCGCGTCCCCATAACGCCAGAATTGTACATGACTACCTTGAAGAGGTCGGTATCGAACTCATGCAGTGGCCAGCGCGAAGCCCGGACTTAAACCCCATCGAGCACGCCTGGGACGAGCTTCAGAGATGCGTGAAAGGTCGAAATCCCCCACCAATCACGCTTCCCGAGCTCAAACAAGCACTGGTGGAGGAATGGGAAGGTATTCCTCAGCACCGGCTCCAAAATTTGGTGTACAGCATGCCTAATCGCCTGGAAGCTGTCAGAAGAACTCGTGAAGGCAATACAAAGTATTAAATGAAGAAAGTGATGAAAAACAACAAAAACACATTCATAAAAAAATTTAATCTTAAGAAAAATATGACTACTTTAGTTTTTTTTTTAATTTAGAGATAAGTTAAGAGTTAGAGAGTTTAGATTTAAGTTTTATTTTATTTTTTATCTGTATAATTAAATTCTCAATTGAACAGTCTTCGTTTCATTAGGATGGCATACGTAGTTCGGGAGATCTGACCCGTTATTTTTGGAACCGAGTTTACAAATGACATCATTATAGAATTGTAGAATTTAATTTCAAAATTATGTTAATAAACTTACCAGGAAAATTAGCTACCACACCCTTGACATAATTCGTCCAGGCTGGTGGACCAGGCTTCAGAGCGGTGGAGGTTGTAGGGGCAGGAAAACTTGCGCTGACCACCTCGCCAGATGACAGGACAGAAACCACATTACATTCTGTGGAGTTGTTTGAAGCGCCAACTACAAGTGTCAGGAACGGTAACGCCTGGGAAAAAAAGTTAATTGCAAATGAAGAATGTATAACTGTTGGCGCCACATCAAAAATCAATATTTAATTTAGAAAAAATGGGGTTAAACTCTAATAATTGATAATATACCGGCCGCCCCAATATTTATTGGGAAAACGTCATCGAGAGTCGAAATAAACTTGTGTCTAAAATTAAACATCCTTAGCGGAGGTTAGAGCTGGCAGACAAGCAGACGGGTCACCTGATGGTAAGTGACCATCACCGCCCATGAACGTTTGCAACCTCGGTTTGACAGCACCTTATTAACTATCAGTATCGCAGTCCTAGGCAGTTTCGGCGTCATCTAGAGGGTAAGGTCAAATTAGCCGCAAAGAAGCTCGGTGTGCTGAAGAGACCGATACAATATTTCACTCGAACCCTTGGCGTTATGTAGAGATGTAGCTTCACTCTACATTCTCTATCGAATGTATCATGTAGAGTGCTCAGAGGAATTGTTCGCACTAATACCAGCCGCAATCGTTAGCAATTATTGCCATCATTAAACACGGCAAAATTTTCACCCCATCACTTGGATAATTCGCACTCCATCACTGTGCACTTTTCAAGACACTTTTTGCCTTGCATAAGCAATCTGTGGAACAAGCCGTCGTCTGCGGTATTTCCGGACCGATACAACCATCAGGAAAAAGCTGGCAAATCGCTTGTGACTCCTGAGTGGCAGGCGTTCATGGACGGCGGTAGCCGCTTTCCATCAGGTGACGTGTCTACTCGTTTGCCCCCTCTTTCATAACAAAAATCACAGTTTACAATTTAATACAATCAATTGATATTCACCGTGAATATTCAATTTGCAATATCAATGATGAAGGTGAAAGAAATAAAAAAAAAATTACTCCAATGTTTCTTGAATAAAACAAAAAGATTAACATGACTGTTAGTTAATTAATATTATAAAATAAAAACCTTACCATAAGAAAAAAATCAATTATAATAAACCCTCAAATGAGAAAGGTATAAACATCTGAGCCTACTTCAATTTTCTTAATAATTAGTCATTAATCAATATTGAAAAGGCAAATTGTATTAAAATTTTATTAAGATGATTGGATAATATCGATAATACTTTAGAGCCGTGGGTTGTACAATAGTGCTAATTCTGTTGTTCGAAAATTCTCTAAACTAAACTAAAAATCACAAAAAAATTGTTTAGTCCTGTCAAATAACGTTTAGTATTCTAAAAAGACCAAGGTACCAAGGATTTTCTTATTAGGTTACGCCTGGTTCCCCGGCCAGGCCGGAACAGGTTCCAGTTCGAGTCGAGTCCGACAAAGCCGAAAATCGCCCGTCCTGTTGGGGTACGCACGATAAAAAAAGATGAATGCAAACCTGGCGATGCAGTGTCGCAGATGAGGTGAAGAGAATCGGCAAGACATGGAGTGAGGTTAGGTGCGAAGCTCAAGAACGAACGCGATTGAGGATTACTGTGGACGCCCTTTGTCCCATCACAGGCACATGGACATTAAATCAGTCTATTAAGGGGCAATTATTAAATACTGGCTTTTGCCCACGGCTCTGCCAACGCGTATGTCGGTTATCGCGGTAAAAAGTATCCTATGTTACTTGTTGATTATGTAGCTTTTTATTGGTAAAAGGATTGTTATAATCGATTTAGTGGTTTTGGCGTGAAAGCGTAACAAACAAACTCACTTTCACATTGATAGTATAAAAATATGGATATTATTATTATATTCGTCCATTCAAAGCTACATGCGAGAATAAATATTTCCTTAATAGAGTACCAAATAAATTTTCATAAAATCACAATTTCATGTTTTGTTAAACAAAGATTTACTAATTGTCTAACCCGTCGTGTTCAAAAAAATATTTTTATCGTGTAACGAAGATTGATAAATATTGTTCTCCAACTACTAATTGTTTTCAACACAAATAATAATCTATTTAATTGAACGAGCCTTGCAACACCAGCTGTCGAGCAGCTCCTTTAATCTTCATTATTTCGTGAGCGACACCAAACAAAAACGACGACAATGACTTCACAATTTACCAAGGCGGTCATTTACAAAATAAGAATTTAAATCTGCTACATCCACGTACGAGTATTTGTATAAAAAGAAATCAATTGATGAATATATGTAACACACAAACACTTCGCATTTTACTTTTTGTACACATTTTACTTTCATTTTCTTGAACACACACACACAAACACATACACACACACACACACACACACACACACATACACACACACACAGCGCATGAATAAGATTAAAATTTAAATTTTGTTTGTGTTTTTTTTCCGGTTTTTATTTTTATTTATTATACCAAAATTTTGACTGTCTTTGTAAAATGGGGAGTACCTACACTGGCTCCTGCAACACAGTATCGACTAGTGTAGGAGCCAGAGAATTCTGAAATTAATGTAAGCTTAATGTCAATTAAAAAATATTATTAGTATTAGCTACTTCTATGTATTTAACAAAAAAAAATCAAATCTATGTTTATTAAGGTGCTAAACCCGTTTTTTTATAAAAATCGTCATGGAGGTACTTACACGCGGGCGGAGCCAAGGACAAAAACTAGTAATAAATACACCGCGTTTACAACTTTAGCAAAGACAGTAATTACCTTTAAATAAGTATCGTCGATTTCAATGGGCCCAAACCATGATTAGCTGTATCTTAATACCGTAATTTTCCACCATGCGAGGTAGAATATTTTCATCAAATTTAAATGTGATCAGTCTTGAATACAACCATCAATTGAATGATATGTTTAAAACCTTAGAAATGCACTTTTTTTCAAAGTATCTGAAGTACAAAGAGAAAAATTATGAATGAAACAGATTCACAAATGGCAGAGACATTGAGATCCCCCTCTTTTTTAAGTAAGTAGGTGTCGGTACAGAAAGGAATGAATCGATTTAAGGTTGGATTCCTACATGCGGTAAGCGCCAAAGCCATGACCACGACTCGACTATACACCAGTAGAGTCATGCTTCGGTACAAATGCGTAATGTCAACTAAAGTAATACAATACAGGCTAAGAAAACCGGTGTTTAAGCAATTCATTCATTGCTTTTCACCGAGTAAATAACATTACAAGCCTATACAATACTTACATTTACAAACGTACAACCATTTTATTACAACCAGGTTAAAAAAGAAAATATGGCAAAGAAAAATATAAAAATATACAAAACTTGCTTACAGCAGGTAAGACGAATCCTTCACAGTAGTCGATGTGATCCCCAATGAGATTAAGTCGTCCTGGGGCGCCTGCTGCAGCGGTTGGTTGACGTCCGAAAGTGGCGAGGAATTTTTCGCGCGCCTTTTGCAGGAGGGCAGCCTCACCTCTCGGGATCTCTTCATTTGACATCTGCAAGATTGGTAATGTATCTTATTTACCAATAATAACCTAGTTAAGGACAGAGTTTAGGCAACAGACTCGTATGCGAGTAATATTTGAAAGCATGGAATATAAGGCTAGCTGAAAGCTGGTATATTATAAATGTTAAAGTTAGTTTGTATGATTTTTTTGTTTGTTTGTTACGCTTTCCTGCGTAAACCACTAAACCGTTTTTAAAAATTCTTTCAGCTATGAAAAGCTATCCGCGAATAACATAAGCTACTACTTATATGTACATATATTTTAAATGTATTTATGTATGTTCATTTAACACATGAAAATTTAAATGAATGTGCTCATCACACAATATTTTGCCCTTCTCGGAATTCAAACCCACAACCTTGGATTTAGCAGTCATGACCGCTAACCACTAGACTAGACCAACAGGTCAGCCATATTTTGTCGTTAAATAATTTTTGAGTTCGTTAAAATGTTTAAAATTGACCTACATTATTCTGTAAGTAATTTATAAATGACTCCTCCCGCAAAAATTACGACAATCCCTTTTGTCTGACTGTTATAGGGGAGAGGTGTTTTGCAGTTCGGTTAGTGTGGTTGCAATACAGACAGGACTCTGCTGCGCTTTGACTTTTTAAAAATGTACAGACTATAGAATGGTTACACGGGTAGGTTAGGATTTGGCTTCATGGGTTTTGGTCGGATTACACGGTCATTTCGAACTTTATCGAGTCGAATTCGTATTGTAGTTTCAAAGCCGACATATGACCAATACTCGTACATTTACAAAAGGCACACCGTTAAAATATTTACCTTTGAAGAGTCATGCTTCGGCAGAAATGGGCCGGGTAAACCGATTTTAAATAATTTATTGTGTTGCTATGCACAGAGTGACTCCGTGTGATGACGGAATAAGAATACATCATCCCGTGGGTGCCGTAAGAACCGACTTAGGGAGCAAACTACGCAGGACAACAGCACTGCAAAGAGAAGGAAAACTTGAAACAAATGCTATACCAACCAGTCGGGCCAGCGTGGTATCGTAGGCCAAAACTTCCTTTCTAAGAAGAGGCCTATGTCTGGTAGTGGACTATTTAAAGCTGTTGATGTGATGATGTGTGTGTCATGTGTGTGAGTAAGTGACTTTAATCAAGACCAACCCCTCTTACTGATTCTATTGGGCTGGATCAAAAGGCGGCAACGCAACTGCGACTCTTGAGTTTCAGGTGTCCATTGGTGATGGTAGTCACTTACCATCAGGTGACCCGTTTTCTCATTTGTCCACCTATACTATAAAAATCTATTATCACCATCATTTTTCTGTCCTTCACCCAATGCTATTTGGTGGCAGAGCGATGTGTAACATGGAAAAAAACAGTGGCACGCCGGGATTACCGACATAAGTAAAAACTTATATACTTATATACAAAGGTGTCGGTAACGTTAACAGTGTCGCGAGTTCAATTGTTTTTTCACATCCCAAATAATGCCTAACGTGCCTAAAGAAGTTTCACTTCAATATATACAGAGGTGTCGGTAACTGTAACAGTGTCGCGAGTTCAAAAATACATTCTTTTGTTTGTTGTTCGAAAATGCCCAACGCGCCTTAAGAAGTTTTCACTACTAAAATTTGATTCTTCTTTGGCCTGCCGCCTGTCTAACGGAAAACTTTCCTAATATTTTCAAAGACGGGACAAAGGAAATAAATAAATTAGGACTATAAGACTAAAACTAATAGTAGGCCAAAGAGGTCAGAGTCACGTACCCATATACGTTCGTTATGTGACAAACATTTTGTTAGTTAGAAATATCTTTATTATATTTTCCGGATTTATCAAACATGGTCCATTTATACGCCATCAAAAACTATTTAAAACATTTTATTATTCCTTATTTAATTTAAGTATGTAACTTTTATATATTTTATCATTCCCCCTTTAATTTTGATACTATACTCAATAAGTTTAGTTTTGTTATTATAAGGTTAGTTTTTTTTTATTAACTTTTTACTATTTGCACCAAAAAGCCGCCATTTTGTTTTTTCTTTCGAAAAGCCATCAGAGGATACTTGGGTTTTTGAGACGGATACTAAAATACTTATACTGTCGAAATCCATCCAGTCATTTGGTAGATACGGGGTAATAAAGAAATTTCCAAACAAATATAAAAGATATTCCTTGGCAATCTGGTAAAAATATATCTATTACTATCTACTAGGCCAAAGCCTCCTTTCTAAGGAGAGACCTATGTCCAGCAGTGGACTTTTATAGGCTGTTGATAATGATAATAATAAGATACTATCTATTCATACCTCCTAATATATTAAACAATATCTTTATAAAACACTCTGTAAAATTACTTGATAGTACAATTAACGGTTAGTGTTATCGTCAATTAAATAACGTTCAATATAACTATAGTGTTTCTGATTAGACGTAACCGCCACCAGCGATATTCCGACAAGTTTATGGTCGTATGGGCGATAACAAAAGGTCACAATTCCTTATCAGCGCTCTGTAAATACGTCAATTTTTTGTAAGTAGATATGTACGTTTTGTGAAAAATTCTGAAAATACAAATACGGGCCTGTTGGTCTAATGGTTAGTGCCCCTGACTTCTAAACCCGAACTCGTGGGTACGATTTCCACCCAGAACAAATAATTGAGTGATGATCGTGATCTTTTGTTCTATATCTGGGTGAAATTAATAATAATTAATCGGCGTAGTGGTTTAAGCGGTCGCCACGCCGCTGCTTCCTACTACGCCGAGCGTTTAGCCTTCGATCCCACGTGGGACGACACTTAGTGTGATCTACAAACTGTTGTTCTGAGTCTAGGTGTTTTATGTGTCCATTTCATGTACATATATTTGTAAAGTCATCATCATCGATTTGATCCGAATAATTTCTCCGTCTGTAGGATCAACCGTCCTTACAAATTATTTTTCGGACCAATAAAATAGTATTACGTTTTCATGTTTCATATCAATCCACTTGAAGTAATTCCTCTCAGACAAACGTTGAAACACACACATACACAAACACATATGGGCTACTTTATACACCCTCTCACATTTCATTCAACTACACTATCACGCTACACAAAGAGAGCACACTTGCATGAACATTTCTCTATTTATTTTACCTTCATCATCATCATCATCATTATCAGCCTATCGCAGTCCACAGAGTGACATATGCCTCTCCCATTGCGCGCCACTTAGATCGATTTTGGGCTTTTCGCATCCCGCTCCATTTTCCGATTGAACAAACGTGTTTTACCTTGTTAAATTAAAATATTTGAAATGCAATTCTTATTGCCTGGCTCTGCCTAGTTCGGTAACAGATACTAACTTCATTAATTTGTACTTAATAAATGTCAGACTACCTATAATTTGCAACTCAGTATCGTTTATACATTTGTGAAATATACGTTATTATTGTTATTACATAGTTATATTATTGTTGAATTTGGTCTAAAATTAATATCTAAATGGTAAATGTCTTAATAACATCATCCCGGATCATTACAGGCGCTTCTATTTCAGGCGCAGAGTGGCACACCGTATGGTTTTAGTCGGTCCGATTCCAACACACCACCCCGCCACAAACCCCGGTAGGGTGACAGCCCGAGGGGGTTTCTACACGTAAAAAAGAAACTTAATATAAACATAGATTGTTTTTATTGGACCTACCCTTACACTAAAGTGTTCCGATAAAAACAATCTATGTTTATTCTAAGTTTCTTTTCTGACGTTTTTCTGAGGAAATCTAGTGGATTGAGCAATGAATTTTTGAAGAAAGTTTTATATTAGATCAAAGTGAAGACAACCAAAGAAAAAATGGATAGTTTTCGTAAAAGAGTGTACGGCTGGATAATAAAAAGTAAGCCGTGAACTGACGAATCATACAGGAGAATGAAAGAAGAAATGTCATTGCGTCGACTTCAAATAAATTATAGAAAGGGGCAAATAGATGACGTTGTAATATATTTTTCCATGGTCATGGCGCCTTTTAATTAAAATATTTGAGAAAAACTAACTGATATTTAGCTAAAAACTAACAGTTTAGAGCCGATAATTCAGGCATAACATCTGGTAACTTAGTTGTCGGAGTAGGGACGTCATCATCCCGTGAGTATTATAAGAGCCGACTCTGGAAGCAAAATCTGCAGGACAACAGCACTGCAAAGAGAAGGAAAACTTGAAACAAACCCTATCACTAACCCGTCTGTCCAGCTTACTATAGTAGGCCAGAACCTCCTTTCTAAGGAGAGGCCTATGTCCTACAGTGGACTACTAAAGGCTGTTAAGAATGATGATCTGATAACTCATCAACCACGATTACAATATCGTGTTATTCCAGAATCCTTAAAGTTTTGTTGATATTTAAATTAACAATAGAGACATAAATCTGTTTGTAAATCTGTTTTTAAATCACACACACACCTACAGTTCAAAATTATTATATTAGGTATACAAAATCGTAATAAATTTATAGGAGGATATAATATTAACATCGTTCGAGTAATATAGTTGAAAGGTGAAATCTGTGTTTCAATACCTCTCATTTAAAAAATAAATAAGTTGGGCGAATTTTCAACAGTTTTTTTTTAACACAGGTATAAAACATTGCTTCATTGCACTTGCCAACGTTTTTTTTTTTAATTTTTACAAGGACTGACTTATCTTGTAACCAGTTATACTCGTATATATTATGTGTAGGCTAAAATACTCATTTATTAAACCGTATTATGTGTACTTTTAAAGTAAATAATAGCAATAATCTATTAGACACGATTTGACATTTTGAAAAGAGGAAATAGTATTTGTTTAACTATCGATATAATGGAATCGTTGATGGATTACAGCTGCAATTTACTATCTGTACTACCAAATTAATCACTAAACAAACACTGGTATTTATTTAATAATGCTTCGTATCTTCGAAAGGCCGTACACCTGACGTTATATTATATATTGAAAGAGATCTATGCCCAGCTGTGAACTACGAT